CTCAGTCAATCGTAAACAGCTGGAATCCAGCCGTTTTTTTTGTTTTTGTTGGTAAATCGCCCACCCTATAAATCACGTGATCTGGTGTGTGTCTAATGCGCCGGGACAAAAGTACAGAACAGCACTCGCCGCAAAGCAATGAATGCTACACAACACATCTGAGTGTGATGGAAGACAAACACTCCAAGTGTTGGTGACCTTTGAACACCCGTTTACTACTCATGCTGTGCACTGTTTTAACGCCTGGATTGGAACCCCTCCCTTTCTAACGCGTATTGCGGTGTTGCAAGGTGAAATGATAGAATAAAGTTTATGATAAAAATAAAAATAAAACTTTGCTTCAAAGTGAATATTGATCAATATAGTCAGAATCCGAAAACAAATTGAGTTATATGTATACACATTTCTAGTTCACTCGGAAATTTACAGTTCACCTGTAAAATTGACGTATACGACAATATATTCAGGTAAACCCGATTGTGTTCAGCTCCAGTGCTTTTGCTGATGAAATGAACAAATTACCTCCAGATTGCTGAATAGAACTCTCAAACCAATCAATATGGTGAACTGAAGCCATTAGTTAGAGCACCGATTGTTTTGGCTCACACATTTCTGCTACCATGGCAACCGATAGCGCTGAGAGTGCGAGAGAGAAATAGTCCGATTCCGCCATGCCAGACAGACAGACAGAACTCACCTGATTGACCGGACTCCACGCTTTCAATCCGATCCGGTGGACCGATTGTCGCACGGGATTTTCGAGATGCGGATACTTGTCTCAAGTGTTTCATCGCAAACCGCGTATTTCTACCCACGCGCGACTCGTGTGCCTCCGTTTCCAAAGCACTCAGATCACACGCTCGTCTTTCCGCGCACGAAGTCATACCGGTATCCAGCACGGATTGTGACCGTTTGACTGGGAAGTGGCTCAACGAAATATTATTTTCCGATCGTGAAGGTTTGTGAACTGTACCAAGCCGGCGAAACAGTTTTGTAAATGTGGGCTGACAAGTGTTGATAGCGGTTGTAGATTTGGTGAACCCGTTCGATCGGATCCCGAATGTATTTCCACGTCTGGTGAAATTTTTCACGGTAAATCTGACACCAATGGGAGCAAAGAAATCGATAGATTTGGAATTGAAATGGCGTGTCCAAACAACAAGCAATGTCACCATAATCATCGTAATAATTCTAGGCGATTGTTTTTGATGAAATAACTTCCCGAGATGCAGATAAAGACATTGTCAATTGCACTTGATAGTTAAGGAGAAACCCATATGGTCTGGATCGACACTTCCAAAGTCTTTGACCGCGTCCGGTACGAAAGTTTGCTGTTAAAAGTACCCGCGTCCCGATTCCATTCATCTCTCGTATCGTGGCCTCCATGTTTCCTCAAGAAGTAAACGATCTCCATCCGAGTCAATGGGGTCCTATCTCGGCTATTCCCTTTCGAATGTCGGTATTCCCCCAAGGTTCCATCCATACTTGCACCCACCCTCTTTCTTCTGATCAATAATGATATTTTGTCCCTAAGCTCCAATCCCGTGCACTGTTTTGCCCATAATGTTGCTGTTTATAGCTCTCTTTCTTAACCCACAATTTGCCAAACCACTACCAACTTCGATTACAATCGATGCGTCCCTAGTGTGTTGGTGTGTTGTTTGAATTGATCGTTTGTTTTACTGCATCGATTGTGTTTTTATGATTGGTCCGTGTAAGACTTTAATTTTGCCCGTCGAACAATCTGATTGGTTCAGGGTTTTATATAAACGCCTGTGATTCCCTTTTCAAGTGTGATTCATGTCCAGTGGACTAGAGAAAATATATCGGGAGCATTTCCTGCAGAACTGACTTTTGACACCTAGTGTATCTCTTTCACTCCGATTTCGATCTGGTCTCCTCATGGAGTTCTACCAATCATGTATGTTTCATGGCCTCCAAAACTGCTTTATTTTCATTTTTTTCTAACCACGCCCCCTTAAATCTCCGCAAGTGGTTTTTGGTTCACTTCGTCTTTGTTATAACCATTCTATCTCTTCCCCCTGGGCTTGGTCATAAATTCTTCTCTCTCATGGTTTTCTCTTGTGTCACCACACATTTCTCGAGCCGCGCGTAGTGTCGGTTTCCTATTCCGCCGCAAACACTTCTTTACATTCATCCAATTGCTGCTTGTATATAAAGCTCAAATCTGCCTGATGCTCAAAAACTACCGTTACGAGGTATGCGGTGAAACTTTGTATTCCGCTCTTTCCCGTGTTTAGCCATCGGGTCGATGAACGAACTGTCTTTAGCCTTAAATCTACTGTTGCTTTCCTATTTATGGGCAGTTACTTCTTTAGCTACCATTACTATTTTGGTTTCTGTTCTTCTGAACTCGCTTTACCGTTTTGAAATGATGTGGAATTAGTGTCAGCTCGGGATGTGGATGTTGGTATTGACGAGTTCTCCGAGCAGAACGTGTTGTTGTTCGCAGTGCTGTTTCGTAGCCAAACTAGGCAACATCATCAATGCGACTTCGGGGAATGTCTTGTCTGTCTGTCTTTTTACTTCCTCTTTTATTTATTGAATATACAAATGTACAGTCAGCATTCAGGAAGGTGAGCCGCAGCCATACAAAGGCTGCATGAGAAGACGGGTGGCGGTGGAACTGTTCGAACCCGGAATTCTCAGGTCACAAGTTGGTGACCCAACCACTTGGCCACTTGGTACCAGTCCTCAGTAGGATCGGGCTTAAATAGTTCTGTTTGGGGGTTTCTATAGGTTATTCGCGTACCTTTGATTCTATTGGTCATCTCAAAAGGCATAAGGCCTCAGGCCCAGACGGGCTCTCCCATCCGTTTGTAAGGATGGTTTCAGCGTTAACGAAACTCCTGGGCTCAGTGTGGGAGAAGGAAAAGGTTCCAGCTGAATGATGTGAATCGGTGATCATACCGATTTACAAGAAAGGTGGCAGATCCTCTTGTGAAAACCACAGAGGAATTAGTTTAATTAACATTGCTTCTAAACTTCTCGCTGGTATCATACTCCNCTCCGTCGATTGTCTGCCGCACGTGAACGGTGCACGCGTGAGAACCAGGCTGTTTATAGACATGGTCGAGGTTGTATCGACCACATCTTCGCTCTTCGCCAAACTCT